GGGCCAGCAGACAAGCCATGTCACTGCAATTTACAACATTGCAAACTAAACTACATCCAGATGTAGGATGATAAGGTAAACTCATTTAAAAACCCCAAAACTCTTGCACATGTACAGTGTGATGCCATTAAGCCACACAAAGTGACATTTTCATCATGTGTACATGGTAATGGCATCACATGTACAAGTCCCTCAGGAGAATTATGCACAGGTTTCTTTGGTCCCCCACTAGGGGGTGAATAATAGGCAGAGAGAGTGGGTTGAGTTTGAGACTCCAGTCTGTGGGTTTCTTGCTCCTTTCTTTCCTGCTTAGCACTGTTAGATGAAGAGCTGAGCAAAAATCTCATAAAGATCACTTAGGTAGGACAAAAAAAAAATCCACCACCTAGGACTGGTGCCTTTATTTTACTGCTTTGAGAGGACAAGAGTGCGAGGATTTTTTTTTTAAGTGGGGCTTTGCTTAATTTTTTCTTGAAATTGCTAAGAATGCCAAGTCTTCCCTGTTTTTGTTGGACCTCTCTGTGGACTGGGAGCTCTGTCATTTCTTAAATGGAGAGGGGTGTTGGATCTTTAACAAGGAGATTTTCTCTGAATTGCTTGTTAGGTGTTAAAAGAAGAGAGAGTGAGAGAGGAAAGCAAGGAGGAAGACTGTGTTATCCTGACTAAAAAGCAAATCCCTTCTTTTAAATAATTAGACTTCATTTGTACACTTGCATGGTTTCTCTGATCTCATATGAATACAAATTACCTAATAATCCATTAGTCTTCCAGGAAAAACACTATAGACTGTCATGACCCAAAAGGCATGATTGTGTGTGTGCGCTTCGGCACCAGAATTATCCCCGTCAAGTTGCAGAGCATTGCACGGGAGTGTTTCCTGTTGCAGAGGAAACCCCGGTGCAGGGATCAGTTTCCCGCCTTTTCTGCAGCTTCTTTTGCAGAGTGCATTGCTCATGTTGCAAGAGGAATGCACGGTGCAAAAGAGTTCCCGCCACCGGTATGCAGATTCGTTCCCCGTGATTGGCTAGCGCTAAATTATTCAGACGTGGCGGCTAGCGATTGGCCTGTTAGCCATATAAGAAGCTTGAGCAGTTTCCGCCCAAGCTGAAGAGGACTCCACATCCATCTCGTGGGGACTCTGGGTACACGGCAGGGTAATAGAAACCCTGTGTGAGATCCAGAGGAGCGTGGCGGCCTGATCCACCGCCCACCTCTTCCCGTCTTCGAACGCAACTTTTATAAGACGTACTTACGATTTCTATGAGCTCGGCACGGTGGAGCCTAGCACCCTCCACGAGACCGTCTGTGTTGTCTGTGTCTGTAACCGCAACTAAACCAGTCTTCCCGGCCTACACTGCTGCCATCTCGGTGTAAGTAAACAATCTTTTAAACTACCACTATGCGTCCGTGCCTAATTCCAGCTCAAAGGCCTTCCCTCTCTGCCCCGGCGTGCCCGGGCTGCTGGCCACAGCCCGCGTGCAGCGCGAAAAGGGCTCGGGTCGCTCCCGGCCCGCACATAGACAAGACCTGAATTTGTATTGTAAAACTCAGACTGGAAAAAAAATCACACCTACACATATAACCATCCATCTTTTTCAGACATTTTTCATCCATCAGAAAGAAGTGGGGGGGGAGAAAGAAAAATACACAAGCCCTTTCCTGTCTACTATCTTGCTAGATAGCTTTAAAAGTTTCTTAGAGAATTAGAAATTAAATGTAAGAGAATACCTAGAAACCACAGAAAATGGGGGTTGGAAGGGAGCTCAGGAGGTCACCTAGTCCAACCCTCTGCTGAAAGCAGAACCATCCCCAAATAAAAGCCTCCAAGGATGGAGATTCCACAACCTTTCTGGGCAGCCTGTCCCAGTGCTATACTACCCTTCTAGTGAGAGAGGTTTTTTTCCTAATATCTAACTTAAACTTCCCTTACAGCAACTTGAAGCCATTGGTCCTCGTTCTATCACCTACCATCACTGAGAACAGTCTAGAACCATCCTCTTTGCAACCACCCTTCAAATAGTTGAAGGCTGCTGTTAAATCCCTCTCAGTCTTCTCGTCTCCATGCTAAATAAGCCTTGTCCCTCAGCCTCTCAGAAAGGTCTCTGTAGGAGACAGCACTGGGTGGATGGTTTGAAGAATGAGAAATCAGGTGCCTGAAGTGACCTATGAGGATCTCTCATTCTGATATCAATGTAATGACTGATGCTAATTTCAGTATCAGAAGAATGAACCAACCTCTTTCTCCCTCAGATGCGGAGTCAGCCCAGGAAACTCACAACCAGGGGAACGAACCCAGTGCAGGATGGTTCACTATAAATACTTCAGGACTTTTCTCAAGACATAGAGAAGCCTCACCAGGTTTTACTTAGCTCATTTCCCCTGTGGAAACCTCTCTAGGAGACAGACAGGGAGTGAATAGGTAAATTTGTGAACAAACAATGTAGAAATATCAGTGGAAATGGTGTGAACAGAAGAAAGAAAGGATATGGATCAATTGCTAGAGAGGCAGGTGAGATGAAGGCATGGTTCCCTGAGGATGAGAATGATTAGGTAAGGCTTGTACTAAGAGAGGGAGAAAGGTTAAGAAGGAGAGAAGGAATGAAAATAGGGACCAGGGAAATAAGCAACCACAGAGAAGAGGGTAGAAAAAATCAGAAGTGAAGAGCCATTAAAAGACCACAGAACCCTGTCAACCAGTGACACGAGAAGAAAAAGTGTTGGGCGGGGAGAGGAAAGAGAACATGGCAGAGGTTACTGATCAGTTTTTTGTGGTGATTTAGACTATGGTGACTTGCCTGGACCAGGGCTTTGGGTTGGATGACCTCCTGAGGTCCTTTCCACCCCTATTTTTCTATATTTCTGTGATCAGTATAGTTAGTCCAGTCCAGACCAGAGATTGTGGGAGGAGGTCAGGTTTGTGGAGGGATCATAGCTGATACACAAGCTATAGATGTGTGAGATCAAGAGCTTAAAAAATTTTGGCCAGCTCAGGTTGAATCAGTTCAGCCTTCTGAACAGCAGAATGTGAAAACTACAGCTTATCTAAAGAATCTAGTTACAGCTTAGAGGTCAGGGCTGTGAAACAGCAACAAACATTGGAGATTATGGGTACAGGGCCTTGGACTTTGGTATTAGCTGCATTGCGTTGGCAGTTGGATGGTCACTGACACCAACCAGGATTAGCATGGATAAACTCAATTTGAACCTCTCCCAAATGACACTTGTAGACATGAAGAATTTAAAATGATCACCTGGAATTGGTTCCATGGGGAAGTTTAACTCATAATGACCAAAAATGTCAGTGCTGGGACCACAGAAGCTGCTCGACCAAATAATCTCAGCTACAATTGCCAACCAGACCTGTGTAGGCCAAATTAGGGCAGAGTGACTGGGGCAACCACCCCGGGTGCCTACCTGGCAGAGGGGATGAAAAAAACCTGCTACTGCTGGCAGGTTTGCGATTGTAATTACAACTGTGCCAATGGCACAGTGGCAAACTGAAGTTGCCACTACTCCTGTGCCCTGGGCACCTGGCCGCATCACTGTGCTGCTGGCTCTCAGGCTTACCTGCTTAGGTGATATAACTAATTAAAAACATGCAAACATACTCAAAGAGAAGTCATCAATGGTTTGCTGTCAAACTGGTAGGGTATTTCAAGTGCGGTCCCCAGGGGTCTATCCTGGACCCAGTTATAGTGGATATTTTCATTAACCACTTAATGATGAAAGAGAGAGTTCATTGATAGAATTTGCAGATGCCCCCAAACTGCTTGGAGTTGCAAACACTCAGGAGGACAAGGTTAGCATTCAAAATGATACTGAAAAATCAGAGAAATGATCTCAAATTGACAACATAATTTTCAATATAGATAAATGCAAAGTATGGCATTTAAGAAGGAAAAATCAAATGCACAAATACAAAATGAGGAATAACTGTCTAATCAATCTAATTTCCTTTTATGACAGAATAACTGACTTCTTACAGAAGGGAAATATGGTGGACCTAATCTATCTAAGGTTAAAGCATTTGATACTATGCCTAGTAGGAAATTATTACCTAAAATGGAAAATATGGGGTTAACACTATAATTGTAAAGTGGATTAAGAGCTGCTTAAATAGGATATGTGAACAGGTTACACGGAAAGGGGAGGTACTGGATGGGATGGTTTACTAGTCATGTTCCTGAGAGATCAGTCTTGGGACTCATGCTGTTTAATATTTTCATTAGTGACCTTGGTGCAAAAATTAGCTGTGCGCTTTTGAAATCTGAAGGTGACAGCAAGTTGGGAAGTATTATCAATACAAAAGAGGACTGGATAATCATGCAGGAAGAATGAGATCATCTTGTTGAGTGGAGTAATAAATATGAAAATGCCAGACCAAGAATGTTGTAAGATGAAGAATCATAGATTGAAGGGTCAGAGGAAGAGAGAAAACTGAGTATATTAATCAAATGTAGGATGAATGAACCAATAGTGTGATTCAGGTATGAAAAAGACTATTGCAGTTCTGAGATGTGTGGGGTATTTAGTAGAGACTGGGAAGACATAACCAATAAGGAAAGGTTGAAGGCATGTTGCCTGTTTATACTAGAGAAGGGCAGACTGAGGGGGGGACATGATAACAGTCATCTGATATTTAAAGACAGCTATAGAAAGGACAATATTAAACTGGTTTCCATGCCTGCAGAAGTGACCCTCCTGCTCTTTCTCTGTCACAGTGATTCACCTTCCAGCGGGGAAATGCCATTTAAGTCACTAGGCCGCTTCCCCATTGGCCTGGCCAGCCACAGCCCAGCCTCCAGGCTTTGTCTCTAGGGACCCTTTTGCAAATCACTGTATAGCTGCCAGTCAGCTTGCAGGCCACACCTCTGTCCCCTTCTCACCAATGCTCTGCAAGTACCCTCCAGTGAGGATTTGTCACCCACCCGGTGTTGCCATGGCAGCAGCTCCTACCCTCCTGGGTTTCCATAGGACTAGTAAACAAACCCTCCCTCTGGCTGCAAGTGACTGGTTCCTGAAGCAGCCAGGAGCTGGGGTGGGTGACCTCTCCGGGGGGTTACCTCGCAGCTTGGGGTGGAGACGGAGGGCAGGGAGCAGGAGGCCCCATGTATGAGGAACAAGGGAGCAGTCACCAGGGTCTGCTGTTACACCTGCGCCCGTTTCAGCACCTGGAGGCTGGGGTTAGGGCTCTGCACCCCCAAGGCACCACCTCCCAGCCTCTCCTGTCACACCTGCTTCCCAGCAGATGGAAGTTTCTAAGGCCCTAGGAGATGGAGCAAGGCAGTGGGTCTTCAGCAGGGCATGGGGTTGTGTCAGTGTGACCGACCGGAACAGAGGCTGACCCCCTTTAGCATCCCTAACAGGTCTCATGGGGCCCCTGCCCTGAGGAGAGCCATCCCTAGCGGGAGCTGCCATCTAGGTGGACAGCAGCCCTGACTGCCTGGGACGGCTGTCTAACAGCTCTGGAGCCAACATCAGCTCCTTTTCTAACAGGACCTTTGCTAGGCTGGAAGCTTCAGTCCCTGAAGATGTCAGATGAGGAGTTTGATGATGAGTCTGATGCCAATGAACTGGAAAAGGAGGGAGAAGATGGGGAAGAAGAGAAGGAGTCAGCAGAGCAGGAGGAGGAGGTAAGGAAGCAGGACAGAGAAATGGGAGTCCTTGAGCATGAGGGAAGGGCAATCTCTATGAGGGGGTCATGTGGTAGCTGAGACTAGAAGGGAGGGGGCAGCCGTAGTTTTTGTTTGATACTTTCTCTTACTGTCTGATTCTGTCTGTGTTGTTTCCACCTCTCCACCCCCCCATCCCAGAGATTGATCTCAAACCCTCTGACAGAGGAGATCATGAAGGAAGGCCTCTCGCTCCTGTGCAAAACTGGCAATGGCCTGGCTCATGCTTATGTGAAACTAGAAGCAAAGGAAAAGTAAGTAGGGAAATATCATGCTTCCTCCTCCCCTGGGTCTGCTTCTCCTCACAGATTTATAAGCCCTGTCCCTTGCTACATGTAGCTGAACCACCTGACATCAGATGATCCCTGACCAACTAGAATTCAGCCTCTTGCATCAGGAGGGTATTGCTGAGGCCTGTCTTTGTGGTTGTGGAGTCCCTGGTTGCTTCAGCTGCAGATGCCCAGAAATCAGGCCTTAACTGAAATCTCACTGCAGTAGGGCAGGCCTGACCTGCACCTGCGTATCCAGGTTCAATGAAGTATCAAGAGAACTAATCATGGGCTTGTTAGAGAGCTAGGCAAGAATGAGCACCGGGGCCATTCTCTGAGACAGCCACATAGAACAAAACGCTGTTCCTTTTGGGTGCCTGAATGGCACTTTTCCAGCCATACAAGTAGCCTATTTGACACAAACATGTAGGTAGTCTTTTTTATTACCCTCTGCATTGCAGATACCTAAGCGTGCACATTAGCCTGAGCGCACACAGGTGACTATGCACTGGCTATGCAGGCACTATGACTATGTCCATGCACCCATTCTGGATGCATAAGTTATGAAAATGTAGCTGGACAGAAACCCATGACTAATGGTTGTTAAATGCAGGTGGATGTGGGGGCAGCAATGGCTTCAAGCAGTTGGGAAATTTAGAATCAGAGAAAATTAGGGTTGAAAGGGACCTCAGGAAGTCATCTAGTCCACACTCTCACCCCACTCTCTGCTCAAAGCAGAACCAGCCCAATTATATCATCCCAGTCAAGGCTTTGTCTAGGCAGGTCTTAAAAACCTCCAAGGATGGAGATTCTACAACCTCTCTAGGTAACCAGCTCCAGTGCTTTCCTACCCTCCTAGTGAGAGAGTTTTTCCTAATATCTAGGCTAAACTTCCCATGCTGCGAATTGAAACCATTGCTCCTTGTTCTGTCATCTGCCACCACTGAGAACAATCTATCTCCATCCTCTTTGGAACCCCACTTTAGGTAGTTGAAAGTTGCTATTAAATACCCTCTCAGTCTTCTCTAGGAAGTAGGCAGACTTAGATTGCCCCTTTCCCATACTGGGTTTGGACTTGCCTTGCTGACTTCCTAACACATGACCACCACACCATGGATCAGGTATCAGCCACACCCTTCTCTTCCTTTGAAGCTTGCCTCCTGGGCAGCCAAGAGGGAGAGATATGGAGGGGTGGGGGGTGAGAAGCAAATGAGCTAGAGAATGTAGGGGTCAGTGAGGTGGCTGCTACGCTCAGTGGGGCAGGGCTTTTGGGTTCTTGTCTAGACCCTTGTCTCCAGTGAGGCAGAAACCTCCCCACTGCACTGCTCTCCAGCCATTTCATCCAGTAAATGCAGGGGGCAGCTACTGACTGAGCTGCAAAGGGACCACCAGAGAAGGAGTGGACTTGCAGCATGGTGGTTACAGCACTGTGTTAGGAAGTCAAAGATCTGTTACCTGGTCAAGGGGGGTGCCTGTAACTTACTTCCTAGGTGAGTATCTTAACTATTCATCTACTGGGGATAGAACATGGGGACTTATGCTCATATAAAGAGCTGTGTACCAGGTTAGCCTATACATGTGCACTGACCTGTCCCTGGTGTAGTGATAAGTGCCAAAACTGCTCAGGTAAGCAGCTAAAAAACTGTCCTTTTGCCACACAAAAGGGAAATGGAATTCTGCCTGTGATGGATAAATACAGTAGGTAGATAGCTACATTGAAGCTATAGCTAGTGCTCTTGGTGACAGGGTGTCTCTCCAGGAATGGCCATGAAGCCCCCGGAGTCCCAGCAGCCCTCACTTTCTGGGCAATCACTCACCACACCTTGATGTCTTACTTTGATATGAGGGAGGCTGCCCTAGGGCTTCCCAAATTGCTCCCTCAAAATGACCACCAGATGCCTGTGGTCACTGCCTTACGGACTAATTGCATGGCTCTCTTCCTCCCTTACACCATGCCCCATGCCTCTCAGATGGCATCCTTATTGATGTTGTCTTCTACTTAGCCCCTCATTAAGGGCTCCTGGACCCTCTCTGGTCCCGCACTCTCAGCAAACTCCAGATCTTACTGCCAGGCTTCTCTCAGGGCCTGAGCTTATGCCTGCATTCAGCCCAGCCCTCCTCAGTCAGATGATTCCCTCTACCTGGCATACCTGCCAGCAGCTTTGCAGGATGCCTGACCTTACAGTGGCAGGCACCCCAAGTGCCCTGTCTCACTGTCTGCTAATGGGTAGTTAGGAGTGTAAGAGTGCATCCACTGAGCTATGTTCTTTATACCATCTTCTGGTGCTGTTTCCACAACCAGTCATTACCCAAGTTCATCAGTTTCTTGCAGCATCTTCCTCCCTAAGCCACCTACTACCTCCAACCAATGTATCAACAAGCACCACAGGGAGGACATGGTCCATGTCCACAAAGCAGAAACAGGCTCTGTTGCCCCTAGGATTCCTTTTACCAGAGACCCCAAGGATTGACATGGCCCCTTGTCCAATTTGGTATCAAGTGAACTTTTAATAGTAACCCCTAGGCTTATTACAAGTATTCTTCCTTGCAATATGACCTGGCAAGAGGTTCCTTCAGGTGTAACAGCAGTGACCTTTGGTGATACCTGTGTCAGATCCTCCGCTGGGTATATGGGATGTTAGTTTCTGGATTCCTTGTTGTTCAAACAAGAAGTCCAAGGCTGTTCCTGTCTCTCCAGGGGGGCAACACAGAACATACACACGTTCCTTTGTTTGTCCATCACTTTTGTAATTTCTCTCATCTCATATTGTCCAATCCCTTGGCCGCATGCCAGCCACATTCCTTATAGGGAAATGGCTGCCCCTTGCTTGCCCAGTGCCAAATCTCAGCACTCACATCTCCCAGTGCCTCAGAAGGCACTCTGTTCAATTTTGTTGCTTAGTTCTGGGAAGGCCTTAGCATAACTCAGTTTGCCTGCTACAGGCCCCTGGCCAGGCAACCTGGTCATTTCCTATCTCTTCCCTTTCTCTCCTGGAGGCCATGAAGCCCTCTATGCTGGGACCACTCTCTCATAGACACATTCACTCATCATCTTTAGCATCTCTGCTTTCTTTGTCCAGGTCTATCCTTCCACCTCCATTTCTTGGGCAGGCTCCTTCACACTCTAGTACTGTAACATGGGGTCCTGGACTAGCATCAGAGGATTGAAATGACACCTCGTTCAGTAAGTGACAGAAAGGCTTTACTTACTATAAGTATTCAAAGTCAAATGAGCCCAAACCAAAACAAAAGTCCAGTAATTACCTATGAGGTGATGATTTCTCACCCAACAGGCAATGAAAAGGCGGTCTGTTTCTCTTCAACTTCTTGAGTAAGCTGAGCACAGCAGTAGTTGGTGTCAGAGAGATTTCTCACTCTTGAAGCACCTGTTAGCTGTTCTACTTCTTTCTTAAATCCAAGGCCATCCCTGGGGGATGCGAATCGGGGAAGCCACCCCGGGCCCCACGTTTTGGGGGCCCTGCGGAGCAGAGGCGGTGCGGAGCCGGGTGGAACAGTGGCTCTGCGTCCAGTCACTGGCATCCCCTCACCTTCCCTCCTACCGCCGCCGGCTTCTTCAGGTCCAGGGCACGTGGGATCGGAGAAGGGGCAGGGCCCCGCATGGGCTGATTTGCCCTGGGTCCTGCTCCCTGTTTGGGTTGCCTCTGCTTATACCCTTAGTCCAGCATCTTCAAAGCATTCTTTTAGTTGTGTAAATCAAAAGAGAATCCCAAGCAGTAATTGACAGGAAAATCCTGTTAATCAAACTGCTCATTACTGGTTATCAGAAAGTTCCAATTTGAATGAATTACCTTCCTTGGTGACAAGAGGTTATCCATTTCTAAGTTTGGGATGCATCAAGAAACAGATTAACAACCAGGAAAAACACCAGTGTCCTTGAAAGATCAAGGGAACCACTAGGCAAAACAAGGTAAATCAGGAGGAAACAGCAAAATAAAAGTAAATCAGGAGACGCTTATCACATATGGAGAATGTCTCTTCTTGTACATACCATGAGTTAATTGCAAAAGAAATATTTACCATACTAATTAATCAAGGATAGACCTTTCACACGGTTACATACCAGACAACTAGAAGCCTGCTTAAAATTATCATGAATATAGTAAGATAAACTGAAGTGATAGCTCATTATTTCATCTCAGATGGCCTAGCCATGAACTCACATCCTCTTGTACACTACGCAGTTAGCATCAGTATTTTGTATTTTAACTTTTGTGAGTTAAAATGCCCAGCTTAGCATGAGTTTGAGAGTCATCAAGTACTCCAGGCCTGCTTTGTAGCTCTACAGCCCTCTGTTTCCAGCCGTCTGCCTTTTTTTCCCCTTTGTCATCTTCAGAGACACTTCTCCTGACAGGATATAGGCTGGGTAGTAGCCTTCTCACCAGTGGGAAAGGGCAGAGGGGAAAGAAGGGAGAAGTTTGTTTCATTTTCTCATCCTTTGGCAGGGACCTGACAGACATCGGCCTCCTCCAAAACTACATTCACTTGCGTTATGTGGACTTGTCAGAGAATCAGCTCCGAGACCTGTCTCCTCTGGGCAGCCTCATCCACTTGCTATGGCTGAAAGTGGACGGGAATCGACTGACCAGTGCCACCCTACAGGAGCTGCCCTATTTGCAGATTGCCAGCTTTGCCCACAACCACATCAAGGACACTGAGGGCATTAGCCACCCACGCCTTGGCAGTCTCAACCTTAAGGGTATGTATGTACTAGGCCTCAGCACAAGGAGGTGATCTTTACTGTATGTCCTAGGAAAGGATCTCTGGAGGGATTAACTCTTTCATTGCTTGCTTGTGTGTCACTCAGGGAATAAAATCCAGGTGATATCAGGTCTGGATCCAGGGAAACTAGCCAACCTCCACACCCTAGAGCTACGAGGGAATAAGATAGAAACCACAGCAGGGCTGCACCTGCCTAAGCTCAAGAACCTGTACTTGGTAAGAGCTTGTGACCTCGGCCACAAGGAGGTAATATGCTGCAGAGAGTGGCACAGGAAGCTCAGAGATGGTTGGTTAGCCATGGTAGCCTGAAAGCAGGGCTGATTTGCACCTTATAGACTAACTGAATCAGAGATGTATAAGCTTTCATAAGCAGTTGGTTTACTTCAACAGGAAGCTCAATCAAGGAACCTGTCCCCTACAAATGAGTGTAGATCTCCATGCCCTAGGGTTGTACTGAGTCAACACTGTCCAACTTTTCTGGCTGAACATATTTCAAAATGTGGGGGATGAAATCAATTCTTTGGGACAAGAGTCTCTGTCCTCTTCTTTTCTCTACAAGCTCAGGCAGTGGAAATAGATCAGAAACCACTTATAAGTTCCCTACAGAGAATCAGGTTGCTGTAACTAGTTGCTAGTTCTCATCTTCTTTCTTACCCTTTACTCTGAGCTGAACTGCTTAGCTATGTAAGGAAAAACAGCAGCTTTTGTTGGGTGATTTTCTATACTGAAACAGAGCCAGGCAAGCTCTATTCCTCTCCTCTTTGGGGCTCCCAGAGCTCAGCAGGGAAGCAGACAATGAAAAAGCCTCCCTTACTGTCTCCTTTTTAAAAAAAATGTCATATCAGGCCAAATCACACAAATCAGTTCTGAGTTCTGTGAACTGAGAAGAGCTCAATCTTTCAAATCTGTGTGATGCTACCACTGGCAAGTATCCTGTTTCCAAGACTACTCATCCTGGGGTTTCAGATGCTCCAAAATCCATGGCAGGCATCCTACATGCAGTCCCCAAGCCTGGAGGTCATGGAGTTGAGATGCCCCTTAATTTCACTTGCCACTCACCAAAAAGCCAAAAGAGCAAGCTAGAGGGAAAGCCCCCATCATCATAAATTGTGTAGCCGAGATCCTTACATTTGGAGGCATTTGTAGACACTTGCCAGGGCCAGCCTACCCACAGTGCTAGGGACAAGCCTTCACACTCTAACTAAACCAAGGCCATTCAAGGCCAAGAAGAACGGTATCTCCCCAGCCAAGTAAGTAAAACCACCTGGGCCAAACACCACCTCATGGTGGTATGGTATGTCCCCTGCCTTGGACTTTTGGCTAAGATCAAGTGTCTCCTCTCTCCTTTTTAAAAAAAATTAAATGTTGTGTTCCAGGTTAAATTAGCCAAATCACTTCAGAATCCTATCAGCTGAGCAGAACTCAGTCGTTCAAGTCCATGTGGTGCTACCACAAGCAAGTATCCTCCATCCCAGACTCTTCAGTTTGGGGCTTCAGATACTCACAAATCCATGGCAGACATCCTACGTGCAGGCCTAAGCCTGGAGGTCTTGGGGTCTGAATGCCTCCAAGTCTTGCTTTCCCTTAGCCAACAGGCCAAAGGAGCAAGCTAGGGAGAGATCCTCCATTTCCATAAAGTAGGCGTGTAGATGAGATCCTCCCATTGGGGAGCTATAGTACACTCTTGTAAGGTGTCTTGTCTGCAGTGCATTAGACAGGTGGGTATCCTCTACCACACCATGCTATTCAAAAGTGATCTCGGCCGAGGGAATGGCCGAGGGAAGTGCAGCAAACTACACTTGATTTTATCCCACAAGAGACCAAGAAGCAACTGTCTCCTCTCTCCTCGTTATGGAGTAGGCAGCCAGCAGGGAAACTGCTGAGCAACTGTACAGCAGCTGCCAAGAGCACGCCAAGCTCACACTGAGGTTGCTACCAAGGCTGCAGAGGATGTGATGGGAGGCTGTGTTGCTATTTCCTCTCCAATAAGCCCGATTCAAATACCAGTTTTAAAACTACAGATCATAGCACAGAGAACTTCTGTTGCCTACATATGAATTGGTTTAAATAACACAGCAGGACAAAGTCTGAAGAAATAATTTCCCAGCATGTTAAAGGACTGCTTCTAGTTCTAAAGCATATAGGAAGAGAGGCTAGACTCAACTTAGTCCTAAATATCATGCAAGGACAATAGCCTGCACAAGAAGCAGTAAGTTGGGCTCTTGGATCTCCAATAGTTTTAAAAGGAGCAGTTAAGGAAGGTAAGGACTTTGCTGAGAAACTGAATAGTTTCTTTGCATCAACCTTCATAGCAGTGGATATTGGAAATAATCCTCCCCCACTCTGCTCTTGCTGTACCAAAGATGAGGTCATGTGTCTACACCTCTGTCTAGCAGTGTCAGAAAAAGTACTGGAGCTGACTGATTATGTAAGAGGCTATACCAACCCCAGATGGTTACAGCCAAGAGTTCTGAAACAAGATAAGTACAAAGTAATGAGTTAGTGGCAATAATACATAATTTCTAATTAAAGCCAGGTAGAAGGCAGAATGGAGTTGCACTCTCTAGACTAAGGCAGATGCATAAGTTTATATAAGCAACAATTTATTTCATCAGATACTATGAAGAGACTACAGGGAGCAGAGCCTCTAAACAGAAAGCAGTGATTTGAATACAAAGGACAGGGGAGGGGGAGGAAAAGGAAGGGGGCACTACTGAGAGATGCAAATGTAGGCAGAGGAGAGAAAAACAAAGCAGTTAACTTAATGAGGGAGAGGAAGAGGCATGGAAGAGGGAGGGAGATGCGGGGGGGGGGAAGATAGGGGTTAAAAAGGCTAATCCAGGTAATGGGGTGAGAATCTATAGTTTCGGTTTAAACCATAGTTAATCTGTTTCAGCCTGTGGATGATATTTTGTTCCACAATTTACCATTCAAGTTGGTTTTTAACATTTTGTTAAGAACACCTAATTTGAGGTCAGAGTACTTAGAGGTCACTGGAATTGATGTCTAGTCAGTGTCCATTCAATCTTTTACACAGGAATTGTCCTGTCTACCCAATATAGACAGCAGGGGGGCACTGTAAGCAGGTAATGGTGTATATGATATTGGTAGAGGAGCAGATGAATGAACCTTAAATGTTGTAATCTTTGTTGTTTAGTCCAGCAATGATGTTGTCCATGTGGATAAGGGAGCACAGATAGCATCTGGGTCTGGAGGAGCAAGGTCTGGTGCCTTGGTGAGAAGATGAATGAATACTGATTTGACATCCATTTTAGAAAGACACACAAGCCTGTGGCAGAAGACTAACTTTCCTGGACATTCCATCACTAACCTCAACATAGCTGTTCTTCAATAACAGAACTTTAAAAAACAACTTGAATGGGAAATTGTAGAACAAGAAATCATCCACAGGCTGGATTGGGTTAAGTATGGTCTAAACTGAGACTATGGAATCTTGTTTGATTACCTGGATTAGGTTTTATAAACCCTATGTCCTTCAGTGGGTTAACTGCTTTTTTTTTTTCTCTCTCCTACCCACTTTGCCTCTCTTAGCAGCATCCCCTCCGTGTTCCTCCCTCTTCCATACCTTTTGTATTCAAATCACTGCTTCCTATTTAAGAGCTCTGCTCCCTGAAGTCCCTTCATAGCATCTGATGAAATAAGCTGTTGCTTACATAAGCTGGGGCATCCAAACCCCAAGCCTCGGGGCTTGGACCTGCAAGTAGGACACCTGCCAAAGGATTTGGAAACATCTGAATCCCCAGGTGTGGGTGGAGGATGTTTGCTGGTAGTAGGGCCACTTATGGTTCTGGACTCTTGGATTTGGAATTAGTTTTGGCTAATTTGGCCTCGGATACATACAATTTTTTTTTTATAAAAGCATCTCTGACTTAGTCTTAGAAGGCCCAGTTGTCCTCCTTCCCTCCTCCCCAACTCCTTGTCCAATTTGTTTCTTTTCCCCACCATTTTTTCCCATCAGTGCTAGCCCTCAGTCTCCCTCTTTGGGCTCCTCATCCAATCCCAACCCCAAAACCAACTTCTTCTCCAAAACTCTGACCAGCCAGTTCTACTTCTCTCTCTTACCCTGGCTTCTCATCAGAACTGTTTTCCCTCCTTCATGTCTTCCCTGTCTTCTCTCTGACCTACTCCTCCTTATTTTCCTTGTCAGCCAGCCCTGTTCTCTTCTTCCAGCTCTTTGTCTGATCTGCCTACTGTTGCTGCCTTCTATTTGCTCCCATTCCCTCCCATCCCCCAAACTCCTCATTTCTTTCTCTGGCTCATAGTCCCAGTGTCTTCTGAGGTGAAACACATAATCAAAGTCCTTTCTGTTCTTCAGTGTATGAATCTGTTAATCCTCTCCTCTTGCTCCATGTGCTACACTCCTGATCCTGGTTTGCATCTCCTTACTTCAGCCAGGAACTACACCTAAATTCAACTCCTAGTTTCAGTCACTTTGACCAATCAGTCTCAGCTTCTCCCTAAACTCCCAGTCCCAGAATCTTTCATTAACCAGTTTTCCCTCTCTCTGAACTCCATTTCTCTCTCCACAGTACTAGTTGCACCTCCCTTCTAGACTGCTTGGTCAAAACTACTCTCTTGCCCTTCCAATCCGGCTCTTTCCCCTCTTCATTTCAATCATTCAGCATCATCCTTTTCCTCCTCCTCTGCCTGGGTGTCAGCAGGGGAGTGTAGGAGCACAAGAACTCAGTTTGGATACCTGGACCCAGCACAGCCTGTGGCAGCCCAGAGTTGGGGTTTCATAGATTTCATAGACATTAGGGCAGGGGTGGGCAAAATGCGGCCTGGGGGCTGGATGCAGCCCGCCAGGCCATTCTGTCTGTCCCACGGGGCCCCTAAAAATTTAGAAAATTAATATTTATCTGCCCTGGGCTGCCAGTCATGTGGCCCTCGATGGTTTGCCAAAACTCAGTAAGTGGCCCTCTGCCCAAAATACTTGCCCACCCCTGCATTAGGGGCTGGAAGGGACCTCATGAAATCATTGAGTACAGCCCCCCCACCATAGGCAGGAAGTCAGCTGGGATCAAGTGTTCCCAGTAAGAAAAATATCCAGACATTTTTTGAAAGAGTTCAGAGTAGGTGCTTGCATCACCTCTGGGGGGAGTCTGTTCCAGACCCTGGACACACGCACCGTAAAGAACTTTTTCCTTGCGTCTAATCTAAATCAGCCTTCCTGGAGTTTGTGGCTGTTAGATCTT